TTGGTCTTTTTCAGACAGGGTCTCACTATACAGAGGCTGGCCTTGAGCTCACTTTGTAGCTCAGGCTGGTCTCAAACTCTCAAGGATCCTCCTGCCTCAGCCTCCTGAATGCTGGGATTACAGGCACATGCCACCATGCCTGGCCCAACTTTTAAGTTTTAGACACAAATATAGTTATGTCATTTTTTCCCCTATGTCTTTGTACTCAATCTGTACCCTAGCTATACCAACTTATGATTTTGTCCTGAACTGAAGAAATGAATCACCTATTACCATTCAACATATAACTTACTTGTGTTTCTTCTTCTATTACATGTGAGTTGGTATGTTTGGATTTTGTTTTTGTTTTTTTATGAATCTTGGTCTTGCTAGTCAACATGCTGTCCAGGCTGACCTCAAACTTGTAGTCCTTCCTCAGTTGCTCAGATTACAGGCATATGTCACCATGCATTTTAAAACTAAACTAGATCTTGTGCAGTGTGGATAGTAATTTTTTGGTTAGGTTTAATGTTGTTTCTCTGTCACCTCAGAACACCATCTTACATATAGTGGGCAATTGGTAAATTTTCAGGTGTAAATGAATCTTTTCAGTTAATCTAATTTCACTTAAGTATACCAGGATTAATATTTAATACTTCATATGTATCAGAAGCTATTTGTCTTACCATTTTTATTGAGACTGATAATTCTGTTCCTTACATTTGAACAATATATAGAATTAGGCATGGTGGCAGTAACCTATAATTCTTGCACTGGGGAGGCTGAAACAGGAGGATCAGATGTTCAAGGCCCATAGCAATTGCAAGACCAGTCTGGACTACATAGGGAGATTCTGTGTTGGAAAAGCACATATTTTATGTATATGTATGTTTTCTGTATATGTAATGTTTTATGTTTGTTTGAAGCCTTAAGACATTGGAGGGGCCAGGGAGGTAGTTCAGTAGAATAAGCTCTTACCTGGCAAGCTCAAGGGCCTGAGTTCAATCCCTGGTTCCACCAAAAAAAAAAAAAAAAGACTTTGGTAAATTACATGTTGATGGAAGAATAAATTGTTAATGGCTTGCTCTTCTTTCTTGTAGCCTCCAACAAGAATGTGGTGTTATCAGACTGGGTGTGGTGGTGTGCACCTGTAATCCCAGCTCTTGGGAGGCTATAAACAGGAGAATCACTATGAGTCCAATCTAGTAGTGAGAACCTGAACACCCTATAGACCCTTCCCTAAAATGCAAAAAAAAAAAAAAAAAGAAAGAAAGAAAGAATATGGTGTTATATATTCAGAAATTTTATTGTGGATAACATTTACTTATTTATTATTTATTTCAAGAGACAAAAATAAAAATGGTAACAAAATTTCAAAACAACATGATAGGAAATAAAAAAAGTTTATTGTATTACATATTGTTATCTTCAGAGTAGCTGCTAAGATTACCAGATATAGATGTGCCAAACTGATCAAACAAAAGCACTAAACTGCTTCTTTAAATGAACTAATACTTTCATTTTTGAGTGAGGAATAAGGAATTAAGCTGTCTTTGCTCAGTGTATAAGCAGAAATCTCTGTGCAGCTGAACCAATTCGTTTTCCCCATGCTCTGTACTCGTAAGTCCTGCTTTACTGCAGAGTACAGTCCTATGGGGCAAGTAGAACCTGGCTTTTTTCTTTATTTTTTTTTTTAATTTTTCCAAGTTTTATTGATAAACAGATAGCAATGAGACAGTTTCAAATCAAATCGGAAGTACAGTTTCAACAAATAATACACTGCATATATTCTTCTTAGTGGTTAATTGCTGTACAAGATGCGGACTTGTGATCCTATTTACAAACACTATTAGAACAAATCATTCTATTCATTAAGAGAATGCAACTATATATCTATCCCAACCTCTTTGAATACATGGCTTTTTTCTTTAACTTGGTTTTTATTTTCACTGTTAAATTTTGTTTCAAGTTGCAATTCAGTGCCTGGAGACGGTTTTTAAGATCAGCCCAGAAGATACACATCTAGCAGTTTCACAGCCTTTGACAGAAATATTCACAAATTCTGTCTGTAAGGTATGTTGTCACTGTTTTCTCCTTACTGTGTGATGCAAGTATGACTACGGCTTCATGTTGGATTGTTAATAGTTGTAGGACCAAGTCTATAAGTAATGAACTGCTTTCTGTGTATAAAATAGATTTTTTTTTTTATGGAGCTAATTTGAGATCTAAGAGGTAACTTACCAAATGTCCTTTGGATGTTCATATTAAGACCTATTCTTAAGCTCTCAGCTTTTACAGTTAATGATATATCTTAGTTGCCTTTTAAGTCCTTTACAGTATGAATATATATTTTTTTGATTTTCAACTTTTAAAAAAACTGACATTACCCTGAAACATGAATGACAGTTAAAAGTAAGTTTTAATATGTAGACAGAAACTATGAAGAAATAGCTTCATTTGGAATTGAATCATTTCTGAAGTGGATTTCATCCACTTTGGTCAGTGGTGAGGCTTTGTAAAATAAGTTCGTGTTCTGGAACAGTATACACAATTAAGGCTGCAACCCAGATTTTCTGGTCCCTGCTCAGACTCTTTATATAGCCTTGTTGGGAAACATAGACCATAAAGACATCTGAAAAATCTTAAGGTTAGTGAGTGTGGCAACCCTAAGTGACCTTGCATATTTTTTCATTTCTTTTCAGTGCCTCATGAACTTCAGTGGTTTTCCTAGGTTTATGTTTGTGTTTGATAGCTAATGAAGGGTTTAAGAATAAAGCTGACACACGAAGTGCAAAGTTGGGAATAAGACAAATAATGGAAGTTGGGAATTTAGCTCAGTGGTGCCTCACAAGTGGGAGGCTGTATGTTTGGTGCTCAGTAACCCCCTGAAAAAGTGGGCAAAATAAAACAACACTTCAGTTTGGAATGGACCTTGCTGACAGTAGCACATTTAGATTGATTCTCCAGGCTCTGTTTATAGAACTTGTTGAGAAGAAGTTCTTAGAATTGAAACAAAGACAGAAATAATGGAAGTATACATTAACTCATCAAACTGTGTGTGTGTGTGTGTGTGTGTGTGTGTGTGTGTTTCTGGGACCTGAACTCAGGGCCTCACAAGTGCTAGATAAGTGTTCTGCTGGTCTACATCCCTGGCCCAAATAAATTCTAATTCTATGACGATATAAAGAGACCGTGGTATGTCTCTGTTTCTCAACAGCAAACCCCCCTTTCCTTCCCTGTGGATAAGAGAGGGTTTGCTTGTTTTTCTTAGCCTGTGGCCTCCTCAGGAAGCACTGCTTCAGTGGCTGAACGTGGCCGTGGCTAAAGCAGACCTCAGTTCTCTCAGGCCTGTGCTTCAAGCGGCACTTGGGTTTGCTCTTTGTTTAGCTACAGTCATCACTGACTTAGTATTGAAGACATCAAAGTTTTTTTTAATCTTTCAGGAAGCAGTGATTGAAGACATTCTGTTTGAAGAAAGCTCTTTTATCTCCTTAGATGTATTTCTCAGATTGCGTTTAATTCTAAGAACTTCATTGCATACTATTTTTAAAATACAGTTTACTGAACCTTCTCTCTAGTACATCCAGTGGTGTAAGATGTGATATCATTATCTTTTAATAGTTTTATTGACAGCTATGGCTTTGTTCCATATGTATTTGCTAAAAGTATGGCTGAGAAAGTCTAAAACTCGTCTCAAAATCAGCATTGTTATAATTAAAAAATTATTTGTCTTATCAAGTATATTTGAATGTTATGCCACTTATTTTAAGATGTTGCTTTTCTTTCCCTATCAAATTTAGTTGATAGATATATTCAGTGAATTCATTCCCTTTATTTATTTTTTCATTCCATTTATTTAAAGTAACATTTGCCTTCATATTGGGAGCTGCCTAAACTTAGTGAATATGAAAATTAATTTTCAAATGTAAAACTGTGGCTGTTTCATTAAAATAGTTAAGGAAGATTTGGAAAGCAGAATTAAGCTCAGTTTTTTAGTTTTTTTTTTTTTTTTTTCTGAGAAAGAGAATCACTGTTTTTGGTTTGTCAATTGACTGGGCTTGTTAGATTTAAAATAAAAGGAACCCTAAAAACAAATATAGGACAGTAATGCCTTTCAACTACAGTTGTAAATATGGAACTCTATGTATGAAATTTCCCATTTTATTTCTATACTGCTTGCTCTCACGTTTTTATATTTAAGAAAACTGGTTAGTAAAGCTGGTCATGGTGGTACATGATTGTAATTCTATCACTTGAGAGGCAGAGGGAGTATGATTGTTGTGAGTTTGAGGCCATCCTGGACTGCATAGTGAGTTTAGGAGCAGCCTGGAATACATAGGGAGACCCTGTCTCAAAAATAAAACAAGGAAAATAAATTAGTAGAGAAAGATTTTATTTTTATTTTTTTTTATGAGCAGAATATATTTATTAAGAGAAAGAAAGCTCCTGTCCAAGAGAGGGACAGGAGGGGGGCCCGAGCCGGTAGTTCCCGGAGAAAGATTTTAAAACATAAAGAAAATCCATATTCTCTGTCCATGATTTGCATTTTGTATGTAATTGACAAAGAATATTACCAGTGTTAAACCCATACGTTTAATTGAAAGTTCAGTTAAGGCAAAAGCAATAGGAGATACATTTAAATGTAGCATATATGCATCATAGTTACAAATTATAATTTTTTGAAAATTGCAGGCATATTCTGCATATCATCCTGGTTTAAAAACAGTGTCAGGCCAGGGATATAGCTCAGCAGTGTAGTGCCTGCTTGGCAAGAGTCAGGTCCTGAGTTCAGTTCCTGGTACAAAAAAGGTATTGTAACTTTGAAAAGGTCTTTTTATTTATTTATTATTAATTACTTTTT